GGGGGGGGTCAAACTCACCGTGTAGAGTTCTCGACCGCGGCGAGCCGCTGCAGCACCTCCACGCTGTCCGAGCCGCTGTCGTCGGCGACCCTCTCGAGGCGGGCGGGCCGCAGCACGGCGGTGTGTACCTGCTTCTCCAGGCGCCGCATCTGCTTGCGCAGCTGCAGGTAGCTGTCCCTCAGCGACCGGCTCTCGGCGCCCAGCTGCGTGATCTGCGCCTTGACCAGGTGGTGGTGGCGCAGCGGCGCGTCGTGCTGCAGCTGCATCGGCAGCTGCGAGGGGTGCGCGCCGGGGAGGGCGTTGTCCTCCTCTTCGGCGACCTGCGGACACACAAGAAAGAGGGTAGCGAGTTAGCGGATACTCTCGAAACGAAGAAACCGCTGCAGCAGAGCCCAGCAAACCAGGACGAAACTCGCGCGAACGAGGCGAGAGGAGTGTCGGATCGGGCGGGACGCGGCGGGGCGGCGAAGGCGCCTTGGGCGGTCTGCATAGGCAAACCCGCACCTCACGCCTGCATGGCGGCGCAGCGCGCCTACAGAAGTGCACGGGGCCTGCTCTCTGGCACTGCCAGGCTAACACGACGCAAACCACGCACCTCTGCTTGGCTGCGACATTCTAAAACTCGCATACTCACGCACATACTGGAGCCCCTTTATACACGGTTCGTAAATTCCATCTTTTATTTTTTTTCTTAAGAGTTTCTTTTCGCGCGGCCGTCCGCCAAAATAACCACAACATCCGCTGCAGCTGCAACGCGCGTGAGGCGGAACGCAACGCCGACACCTTCTACTTTTCTCGCGCGCGGCCGTTTTGCTACTTTGCGTTATTACTTTTATTTCCGTTTGGCTGCGCTCGGCGGCGCGCTGGTGCTGCTGCCGTACGCCGCCGGGGACCGTCGCCGCCGCCCCGCCTCAATATTGTTACAGGCCTCGCGCCTTGCGCCCGCCGCCCCGCCCCGCCGCGGGAAGCCGTCAAACTCCTTAATTATGCAAGAGGGTCCATTTTAATATTGCCTGAAAGTCGGGCGACACTGTTACACTTGCGGCTCGGCTTTATAAGTGGGCGACGTGTAATTAGATGCAGAGTGCGGGGCGGAGGCGCTGCCAGCCTCGTCTGTCCGGGGCTTCTGACACGAGGTGGGGGAGGGAGAGAGAGAGGGAGAGAGAGAGAGAGGGAGAGAGAGAGAGAGGGAGAGAGAGGGAGAGAAGAGAGGGAGAGAGAGGGTGGGAGAGAAAGAGAGCGAGAGAGGAGAGAGGGAGATGTGCAGACGGCGTCCCCGACGTACGTACGTATATGCCGGGCCGGGCACCGCAGCCGTGCCTCACCAACGCCATCCAAGGCGTCGCCAAACGCCACGCGAGGGACGGGGCGGGTGTGGCGGAGCGGGGCGAGGCGGGGGCGGGGCGGGG